TTGTGATAAAGAGGATACAATAGAATCAAAGTTTAGTTGAATATTTGTATTGCTTTGAAGCAAAGATTTGGCGGATAGAAATTGATTTAATTGATTTACTGCAATATTTGTCTTAGCTTTAATTTCATTTTTAGAAAACATGTCGTCAATTTTTTTACAAGAAGTGGAGATTTTAAATAATTTTTTTTTTTTATATCTTTCGTCCTAGCTGCACCACTTTTCCTTTTATTATTGGTATCCATTTTCACTACAGTGTAGTGTGTAGATATAATTTATAGAACTGTAGTGTGTAGAATTAGTAATATTCTAATATATAACTATAGAAGTATATAACTTATGAAATAATTAGTAAATATATTTTTAATTTAATCAAAAATCGAAAATAATAAAGATATAAACATAAACCATAAGATAAGGTCATATCTGCCTTATCCAGAGTCACAGTTTAATTATAGAACAATTATTAACGATCATTTGATAGAATGAAATACGATAACAACTAATCGATTTCAGCGCCAGATTCTTGTAACAAGCTCCATCCACTTGCAAGCATTATCATACCTAATGTTTCGTCTATGAATATAATAGTATTATAATATTATCTATAAACCTAGGATTTACACGCCAGTGGATAAAGAGATACTGATATCAAATTATCAACTATCTAATTAAAGGACACAATAATATTATAATATTATTTATGATTAGCCGGGAAAAGCAGTGCATACACAATTAAAGATTGGCAAATTGAAGGCCATAGTATAAATGATGCCTAGGCCAGGCCAATAGTAGACAACAAAATTACAGGGTGTGCAAGTGCACACCCTGCCCCCCCCCAAAAAACGGCGCCCCTGATGTACCTCTAGCAGTTGGGGAAACCTAGGATTTACCAGTAAGTAATAGGTTTTACCGGTATTCGTAGTTCGTACTTTTACCGTAACATATACATATAAACCTTATATATTTATAATTTATAACAGTTAATATCATTTCTAGGCCTTACACGCACTAAAAATCACGAAACAGTACAATTTTGAAATACGCTCAAATAAGCTCTATAATACCTACCTGATACCTCTATAATAATTAGTATTTTTTATCAAACCTCCGTGAAACATTTTGTACTTAGCAGTTCATCACCACATACAATCACTGGTCAACTAGTAAATAATGCAAACAATGCAAATATATACAAATCCAAACTCAGCAATAAAATATTTTTGATTTTATTTAAAATCAATGTCAGTAAAATAAAAACCCAACGTTTTTTGATACAGATATTATTATTGTATTTAGTTAAACATCTAATAATGATGATATATTTAATGTTATATAATAATTATGAAACAATTTATTTTGTTAATTGTAGTGACTACCTACTTCCTAATTTAATAGTAAAGTTAATTTTATTGATAAGAAAATAAAATATGTTTAGGTTATACATTGCAACACGTTTATTATTTCTTAAATCATTGATGATATTCTCTTTACGATGAAATCTTAATTTTAAATTCTTGGCAATAGTTCTGACTAAATATATTACATGATTTGCTTTAGCATCCTCACCAAACTATGATCATGTAAACATTTAAAAACAGATTCATTCATATTTCGTAAACATTGACCACTTATATCTCATTATGTTTAAATTATCTGTTGCTTCCATTATTCTGAATTCTGATTCAGCTAGTTTACACAAATAAATAACATTAGGTGAATCATTTATGAGTCCGTTTTGTGTGTTTGAAGAATCACAAGTCGAGATATAATATGATTAGTTGACGTTAAAACTCAAATACAAAAATTGCATTTAACAAATTGTTTACTTGACTAGCTATAGTTAAACTATCTATAGTTTCTCTATATCTATAACTAACAATAGGTATCTACAACATAAAGTGAAAGTATCTCAAGTTCATGATCATTTAAGTGAATCTAATTTTCAAAAATGATTAGCATCCAAAGATTCGATTGATTTCTGATGGTATACTTAATTTGGCCCTTGCAACCACAGCTCACAGTGAAATTGGCAACTAATATCAGCACTTTGCGTTTTGAGATCCAGTCACTTCACAAATTGATTAATATTCGTTTATAAGCACTTTCAAATAGGCGGGCTATCGGTTTATTATTATGACCTATACGGCTACCAGGTCATTTACTTAACACGAGTACATCGAGATATGACGATGATATACAAATAGTTGTAGAACACTAGGTTCGGATTTGAATACTTCATGCAGTGACAGTGGTCAGTGTCACAGTTAAATCAAAATGTTGTTACTAAACACTCGTTCATTTTTCATATTATACAAACTAAGAAACATATATAATAGACAATTCGGTCATGTGATTATGAGTTATGACTAATTATGGATATATATTTCGTTTTCGTATTGCTGAGCTTGTTGAATGGTTATTGAACTATTGCGGTTGTGTCTGTATCTGTAATGTAGTGTGTACTGTCGGATTTCTCGGTCAATTTCAAGCCCATTTATTTTTAGACTCCTCGTATTGCATTACAGGGGCGGTTCCAGAGACTTGGTTGGGGGGGCCTAATAGTTGTAATTTTCACAAAACTTGTAACAACAAATATTAAATAACAATTTTTACGACTTTTATTATTTATTTTTAGAATAATAACAATACAATTCTTATCAAAACAATATTCTTAGTATTTCCCCAAGTTATTTAGTATTCTCGTAGTCCACACAGATAGTAGATGCATGTTACAACTCATACACCGACGTACCTCCAATAATTACATACTTTTACGTGGGTCTATAATAGTCGATACTATCATATGTTTTTTGTTAGTAATTTTTTGTTAGCAATAAACAATTTTTTAGAAATACGGGTTTTGGGCCTTGGAGGGGCCTAGTCCCCCCCCCCTGGAACAGCACCTGATGAAATGGTATTATCATTTTCCATTTAAATAGCATTTAAATTTAACATTTATAATTTAAATATTTAACCATAAACTCAATATTTTTAAGTTATTCGTTATATGTACACCTACCTTTTAAATAAATATCCACCAGCCCACTTAATCCAAAATAAATTTTTGATGCAGCGAAATAAGCTGCACCCGCTGCATCCGTGTGCACACCGCACACCTTAACTTTAACTAGTAGAAAATAATTACAATCTTGCCCAGCTTTATTGGAGGGAGATTATAGCATAATTTTAATACTTGTGTAGTTGTGTCTGATAACATACTTCAGAACTTACCAGAGTAGGGAATCATCTAGAATTTAACATAACTTGCAGCATTAACCACTTAACCATTAGAATAAATATTATCTTATTTGTACGCATGTGTATAAGCATGGTTCTCACTTAAAGGTATTGTATTTGTATTTAAAGTTAACTAAGTCACTCAGATAAGCTAAGTTAATACAAAAGTTAAACTAGTAAAGTTATTAAATTAATGTAAAAATGAACTAAAACGTTTTTTAAATAAATGAGCTAGCCCACTGCCCACCTCTGTGCCTATATTACTTGGATCATACACCAGAGTATTTTTTAAATTTCATATTGATACACATTAGGTATAGTTATAATTCCTATTTAAAAAATATTTTTGCGATTATTGATTGACTTTATAATATAGGAAATGTACATTAACGAACCTCTCAACCTTTGCCTACTCTCTATCGTGTCGTGCATTATTATTTAACGCGTCGCGCGTCGTCTTAAGTTTCCAATGTTTCGATGAGCTGAACTGTGCCGCTGTAGTTATAACTTATACTATCTTATTAGTTATTACAATTTACAATATGAGTATATAACCAGGCTCTGGTGTTACTGTTAAGTTTAAAAAAATCATAAATCTTATATACCTACAAGTATATTATGATCTGTGGACTATGAAAAAAATTCAACATTGTCCACAATTTAACCAATAAAATATTTATAAAATTAAAAAATATAAATATACGTAATGCTATGGGAACTATCTACGCATTTATATTTAAAATTAAGATTAGGTATACTTACATGAGTATTATAATACAATTAGGCATTTGGAAAGGTTCAGTGGAGAGGAAGTAGAAGAGACCTGACAATTTTGAAAAAAATACAAATCGATTGTAAAAATATTATCAAATGCGTAAATTAATTTTTATAAATAATATACATATTTTGACCGGGAATTACACGACAAATTGTTGAAATTCGTAGGAACACGGTGGTTAACGGCATTAAAAATAATTACATTTGCCTAATCGGTAACATCAATCAGACAGTACCATCATTAATTAAATTAAATATAATTATAATAAAAAAACAGTAGAAGTTACTCTGTTGTATAGTAGGAGTCAAGAAAATTTAATCGACATTACTTAAAGAAAAATTTTTAAATGTCTTAAAATAGCATAAAAAAGTCAAAATATTTTGAAAATGTTATCATGCATGGAAAATTATAAAACTAAACATTTTTTGAAAATTCCATGTACCTACCTCTAATTATTCGTTTTCAAATTACATAAAAATAAGAAAATCGTTCTGTGAGAAATCGGGTGAATACCCAATGTAAAAAAAATTTGACGATTATCAAAAATGAATTTAACTTTACAGTAGACTTTTTCCTTTTGTTAAAATATCTAAGAAAACTTATGGAGAATATTGTATTACATTTTAAAATCATAGAATTAAATACAATTTTTATGAATTTCTAACTTTAAATAATTTGCAAACGAATCTCGTCAAAGTTTTAACTTCAGACGTTCATAAAAATATATTGTGGATTTACGCTCAATTTGTTTTTTTAATTTCCACCAACAACAGCTTATGAGGAACGTTGTTTTAAATTTTTAATGTATTGTAATTAACAAAATATTTGTTTATTAACACTAATTAAAAAAACCAATACAAATCGAAAACTTCTCACGGCTATAATTGCATGGTCGGAGAGACACCTATAATCTTGTGTGCTTGGTTGCATTCCAGTTATCATAAAGATATCTTTAGTATCCAATACATATTATCGATCTTTGTTAGGTTATCACTTATTATCATTCTTCATACATAACTCATAGCCTCATAGCTGTAAACATCCGTCGAAAACCAACAATATTATTTATAATTCACAATCGTCACCACTTGTTTAAATTCATTGCTAGTTACTACATGTTAAGTCATTTTATATGCATCAACGATGAAGCAGAATTTTGTGAACGTACTTTGTTATCTCGACGAGTCTCTCAAATACTACTTGGTACCATCGTAATTGTCTCCCAATATTTATGAAAGGTAAGTACCAATATTTTTGAATTATTGATTACCTAAATGCCTGAGTGATTTAGTCTATAATATGATGTAGTATATTAACCTATTCTCACCTTGTTATTACTATTTTCCTTACTTTTTGTAATAGTTCAATTTGTCCCGACAAATACTAGTTTAAATCGTAAATTTAAAATATATATATTGTATGTCTGCTGCTACATGCTCTGATAATTTTTACAATGTAATATAAACTAAACTATAATTTAGGTTTATAATACATGGGAGAAATTACAATCTGTAGATTCTGTACACGTCATTACATTAAATTAAAATAGATACATTCATATAATAAATGTATACTCAGAGTTCAAGGTACTATCAATAAAAAACTCTTCTTTAAAACAGCAGTTTTCTATTAAATTAAAAACAGTTTAAATTAACTTTTAACCATAATTTTAATGCTCAATATAAATTGAACAACGTCAATGTTTCGCAGTACACCACCTACCAAACTTTTTTTTTCTTTTGTCGGGCCATTCATACTAAATAAACCTCCATTAGAATCACACCATCTTTAAGTTTTAAAGACATTTACATCTATCAAAATGGATACTTCAACAAACTGCAGACTGTATGTTTATGTTATCCTAGAAATCTATCATATTTCTAGATTTACTTTTTAAACCATACTATCAAATCGTTTATTAAAATTGTACTTCATTTTACTAAGTATTTTATTTTGCAATATATTTGCCTACTAGAAACGGCCTTTAATTTCTACCATACCTAAAAATAATAATGAAGTTAGATGTAAGATCTCATTGGCCCCCACACAAACCTGTTCAGTTAACACCTAACTTATATTTTTGAAAAAAAAAAATATGGGTGTTCGTTTTGTATGTGACCTACCAGACCGATAATTAATTTAAAAACAGTCACATTAAAAATCATAAAATTAGGTTATTTTATTATTGCAGATTACATTCAAAATCAGTCAGCAAAATATCGGTAAAAAAAAAATTATAAACAAAAAGGTATAAAATTATTTTATCATAAATTATGTTTGGCAATATACTTTTTTTTCATCACTTAAAAATCTTAAAAAAATTATATATATTTCGGATTAACGACAGAACACGTACTGATAGTACTGTCAGTTCATAATGTTAGAATGACAAAATATCTATTGGTAAAAAATACTGAACATAATATTAATATAATAAATTTATAAAGATAAGCAAGCATAGGTTGTCCGTACCTAAAATATAAATAATTAAGTTTAATGTTATTATGTATTAGAAATTTATTCAGCATACAAAGTTAATTCAATGTAAAGATGCACATATTAATATTAACCACAAACAGCAACAAAGTAAAATGTTCGTTAGTGCAGGTGCATTCACTTTGTGAAAATGTTCAAATTATTTTTCATAAATTCATAAAAAATGTGTTTTCATAGCTGATATTTGCAAATTGAATAAAAGATTCTTCATAAATCTTTCTACCTTAAACGATAAAAAAAAGTATACCAGAAAGAAAAAAATTTTTTTTTAGGGACATTAGATATTTACCCACAAATTAACCAATGTTCCTCATAAGTTGCTATTATAATAGCAGTTCAACAATATTAAAGTTCCATAAGCACAATTATTTTTATAAGCATTTCATTAAAGATCAAATTTTGAAAAAATTTGTTAAAATCACAAATATTTGCAAATTATTTTGAAACTTAAAACTAATAAAATGTTCAATTCTCATAGCTGAGAATTTAAAATTTCTTAAATTTATTTAATAGTGTAACTCAAAAATATAAAAATTATATAGTTACAGCCTTTTTCAATAGATATTTTTAAGTTCAAATGTGGAAAAAATTATTTAATTAATTTCCTTTTAATTGTACTAGTTATTTTTATTAGAGCATATAATGAGTTTTAATATTGTTCTTGATCACATTTATTCATTTTAAGGATTGATAACAATACAATTCATTTAATTATAATAATTTATTTTAAATTTTTTTTCAGATTATACATCTATTGCTGTGGTACTTAATATATCAGACAACATGGTAAAATGTGCAGTTCTTAGGGATTGACAATTGTGAAGTAAATCTTTGTGATTAATAATTCGGTTTAATGGTTTAATTTGTTAATAACTTACACCAAGATCTATTTACAATCAGAATTCTGTAATGATTAAAAGATGTTTAAACCTAACAATTATAAATAAAACTGTTATACAAAACATATCATGTACACACTAGTTAAATTAGCATATCTTTCATGTGATGAAAGTGAAAGACACTGGTATAATACTGTCCCTAAGAATGTTATCAAAATCAATATTAAAAGTTGTTGTGATGAACTTATTCAATATACCAAGGGGATTAGAATAAAAAACAAATCGAATACTGTATTATGTGCCACTGCCTCGAAATATGGACATTTGGACTGTTTGAAATTTGCTCGGCTAATGCAATTTTCTTGGGACAGTAGGACATGTTCTGCAGCGGCCAGAAATGGAGAACTAGATTGTTTAATATATTCACATGAAAGTGGCTGCCCTTGGAACAAACACACATGTTCTAATGCTGCTAATAATGGACATTTAAATTGTTTAAGATACGCACACGAAAACAATTGTCCGTGGAGCTTGAGTACAACAGACTGTGCTGCAAAAGGTGGACATTTAGAATGTTTAAAATATGCTCACATTCATGGATGTCCATGGGATGAAAGAGCATGTATGCTGTCAGCGTCTAATGGAAATTTTGAATGTTTAAAATATTGTTTCGAAAATGGATGTTTGTGGGACGAAGACACGTGTACATGGTCAGCGTATAACGGACATTTAAACTGTTTGCAATATGCACACAAAAATGGTTGCATATGGAACAGTAATACCTGTGCTAAAGCTGCAGCAGGTGGACAACTTAAGTGTTTAAAATATGCTCATGAAAATGGTTGTTTATGGGATATAAGTACAAGTTACAAAGCTGCAGAGAGAGGACATTTGGGTTGTTTGAAGTATGCTCATAGTAATGGATGTCCGTGGAATGAGCACATAACATATATTGCTGCGGCCAAAGGAAACCTAAGCTGCTTAAAATATGCACATGAAAAAGGATGCCCATGGAATGAATCAACATGTGCAGCATCTGTCAAAAATAAAAATTTGGACTGTTTAAAATACGCTCGTCAACACGGCTGTCCGTGGGATAAAAAGACACGCACACTTGTTCTTAGTGATAAACTCTTAAAAAAAAAAACAAAAAAATTGCTAATAGATCTAGAATTTGAGATGTATTTTAGACATTAAGTAACTAGTTTTCCTGTTATTGTACACTGTGGTTAATACAATTATGGGTATAATTCTACATTACACCTGTTTTTATAATTACTTTAAAGCCATAGGGCACATTTAAAATTCTCTTTGAATATTTAAACTTAAATTTTTTTTATAAATATATTTAAGATTGCTAAAATAAATGTAATATTAAATGTATAACATCATTTTTTAAAATACATCTATACTCAATAAGATAATTATTCTATTTTATGAAAGAAGAGCTATAGACAACATAACAAACAAGATATTAAAATGTGTGACGACTGAAAATATTTGATGTTTATAATAAGATAAGATTGGATCAAGTTTAGTATTATATGAGGCAAATAATTTATCCTCTATAATAAATTGTCATGTGATATTTAAAATAAGTGTTTCCTCCCCACTGTTCAATATCGTTATTAACTTGAAAAACATGTCTTTTGTAAATTATTAAATTAATTTAACATTGAAAATCATATATCTTTTTTTTTAAGAACATTAACAATATCATTCTTGAAATAATTTAGTATAGTATTTCATTAATATTGAAGTATCTTGGTCATTTCTTATTTAATTTTAATTTTTATTTAATGGCTTATTGATTTGCTATAATTATTATGTCTGCTGCATTTTTTTATATATACTACTCAGTTTTTAAATTAAGTTTAATCTATTTTATACAATTAAATAAATATTTTATACCAATTTTAAGTGTATGCATCAAATTATAGTCGTTTTTGTTAGGTACCATTTAATATTGATAGTGTATATAATAGTACTATCTATATTCTATGCTCAATCATAATATTCATAACATATACCCATGACTACAAATGATGTATAAACTTAAATAATGTAAAGTTATTTTTAGATATTGCAATGCTACTATTATAATGTACTATTATCATACTGAATTTTGTTATATTGATTGTAAATTAATTAATTAAAATTTGTAATAATTAAATAAAGTTATAAAAAATATCTAATGTATTATGTACTAATATATTGTACTTAAAAAAAATTAGGGATCAAAACAGCTACTGTTATCAATAAATTTATATTTTATATGTGATATCCAATGTTTGGTATAACCATAGACATTATATTACTAGACGGAGCATCCAAACGTGGTGTGGTCTCGTGATAGAGAGGCTGCAGTCATATACCTACACATTTATTGTAGAATCAAAAAAATCATATGTGAATGTGACATATAGCGCAGTACTACCCGAATAGTGTAGTCACATCTGGCTGCTCTAACTACATTCATAATCTGTCAATAAGTATAAAGTCTATGGGTATCACATTATTTATATCAATGACTATTAAATAATACCAGTATCAACTTGCCAACATATTGCAAATATATATTGAGCTTTACTCACTCAAAAATGTATTTTTGAAAGTCAACATAAAAAATAAGTTTGACCCTGATTCCTAGATAACAGTTATGTACTAGAAACTTATAAATAATCAATTTAAATTGTTCTACAAATGCTTGATGTATACAAAATAAAGATAGCAAGTACTTACGATATATATGCTGTTTTATAATGAACGTAATAAAACATACTTATTTTTGGAAAAATATATTTTTTTAAAGGCATTCAAACAAAACTTTTAATTGATAAAATAATAAATATATAATAATCACAGAGATATTTAACACTTGAAATCACCAACAATTTTAAAAAAATAACGAGCAAATGAGTACATACGTAACTCATAATCTCTTAGTGTATTATAGAGCTTTTAAGTATAAATTTAGAAAACCAAATTCATTTTTGAATTCTTAAGTAACATACAGTTGTTCTTCACTTATGATGGATAAAACTTTTTTGATTTATCCTTAGCGTGATCTAATAATAATTGACAAGGTTTAAACGGTAGACCATAATCATTTTGGAATGTTTGCATTTTTGACACAAGCTTATCAGCACCATACCAATCAACCCATCTGAATGGACCACCTGAAAACGGAGGAAATCCAAGACCAAACACAGCACCAATATCACCTTCGGTCTAAAACATTAGATAACATCATAAACAATAGTAAAATACATTTTACATAATACATACATATTTTGATATTTTCTAATGATTTCATTTGTAAACAGATAACAGTGTAAAAATTCATACAGAAATTTAAAAAAAGCAAACCTCTTACAACTCAATTTATTTCTTAATAGTATATAAGTTAAAAATTATTTTTAATTATAATGGAAAATATTTTAAAAACATGCTTTAATGATATCCCATAAAATAAAATTCAATTACTTTTCTTTGAAAAAGTAGAAAACATAATACATGAACAGAAGTAAGTTGGAATACTGGTTCAACAATGAAAATCGTAAACTGGATTCAAAATAAAATGTATTGATAATTTATTAAATTATGGTATTATTTTATTCATAATTTTAAATAAAAACTATTTCATCACAATGAACATTTTTTCATCAAGAAACAGGAAAATTACTTAGTTATTCAGAAATCCATTAGCACTTATGTTGAACATGTACACTATTTTTAATTACTGATTTATTCATGGGTACTTAAGTGTATTTTGTAATGAAAAGTCAACAAAAGTTTACCAACTAAACCAAATTATTAATATAATAGGATCATATATATATATATATATATATATTATAATCAAGTCATGCATACCGGACTATTAAGAATTGATTCTTCCAAACATAAAACTGCTTCATTTACAAATCTGGATACCATACGAAGTTGTTGATTTTCAACAGATTGTTCACCTAATGGTTGAAGCTTGAATTTTTCCAATAAACTGATAGCTTCAGTATTTTCTGGTCTACTTTTGGTACCAGCTTTGTACACAAAGTAACCTTTACCAGATTTTCTTCCTAAAATGATGTTAAAAATAAATACGATTTTCAAAATATTTTATTATTTTACAACTACAACAATCATTAACAATAATTTGGGTGCCAGAAAATTATTAAAAATTAAAAACATATTCATACATATTTTAGTTTTTAAAAATATAATAAATTAAAAAATTGATTAGGTAACCAAGCCTAAATATTGCATTCATCTTTTGTTAAATGTAATAAATTGACTTAATATGTATTTTATTCTAACTATACATTATATTATACTACTAGATTTTGAGCACAGTGATTTATGTATTGGTTTAACAACAATGTGTTTTAAAATTTAATTTTTTTAAATAGCTGTCATCACCTTTTGGAGTAATGAAATTGGATCAAATTTGAGGTTATTTGATATAAAGTTCTCATAAATTGTTTTAATGATAAAAAAATATCAAAAATACAGTCAATTTTTATTATACAAGTTCATTACACCTATCGTGGAAACTGGTTTAAGAAAAAAGTACATAATAATTAGGTTTATTTTAGGCTATGAAAGCTTGTGATAATAGTATCTTGTTTATTACAGCATTAAAATATTAAAATACCATAAAGTAATAAACAAAGCTACAAATAACAGTTGTTGATACCAGATATTCTATTTAAATATTTATAAGCAAAACAACCCCACAACCAAAATAAAATTTTGTTATAGAAAACCTGAAAACACTTAGACCTTGGTATGGTATCTAGTACGTCAGTATTATCAATGGTCACCATTCAGTGATTCAAAATTATTCTTTCATTAATTATTTGTATTGGTTTAAGGTAAACCTTGAATTTTGAGATTGATATTTGTGGTTTTTTTTATTTTAAACTGTCATTTTATTCAAATGGCTTTGTATTGTTAAATATGTAAATGAGATAGGGTACAATTAAATATAACTTATTGGAGAAGGACACATTGATTCGTACAAAATAAAACATCCGAAAAAAGATATAATTACACCACCTCTACCAATTTGTTCTACAACCAATTACTTTTCCAAAAAAAGAAAAATTGAAGAAACCATTGTTTCAGGTATGTAACTAAAAATGTATATTAACTATTTATATTTATTATTTAAATATTTTATTATGAATCGAAAAATAATGTTATAGAAGCAGAGTACAACTTCAATGTCTGTGTCAGTACTTTATTTACTTGAAGGTTAATAGTTATAGTATAGCAGTGCATAATTAAATATATTTGTATTGTTGATCGCTTTTTTATAGCATTAATTTCTTAACTTTTAACATGTCTATTATAATTTATTGAAAAATGATGGGTTGTATACATATTATTGTTTAGAAGTGTGAGGCCGCCTCACACTAATTTCGGAATTTTACTTGATAATTTTATTATTTTTACTAAAATTGTATACCATTGAACTTAAGTTAAACAAAAAAAAATTTAGAGTAGTGCTGTTAATGTTGCGAATTGACCTTTTATTTATTAAAAATAGAATATCCCGGGGAAAACTAATTCAGAACCTCTAGCTACATCTCACCAAAATCATCCCTTACCTAAGAAGCCACTGTCCACCATGCTTTTTAAGACATTGAGATCACCACCACTGAATCGTTCACCAAAGACCTTTGCTAAGTCAGTTGCTATATGATAACCAACATCAATACCAACTTCATCTGATAATGTTGCAGCACCAACCGGGAATCCAAAACTTTTAGTAATTGTATCCAATTGTTTTGGATTTACACCTTCCTAAAAATTAAAATTACTCTTTATTGTATGAAATAAAAGGAGTATTGTTATTTATATTTAATGATTTAAAGAATCATACCTGCAATAATCGCATTGCTTCAGATAACATGGTACTCAAAATACGTGTAGTATAGAATCCTGGGCCATCTTTTACTACAATTACAATTTTTCCTTGTTTTAAACCTAAAGATACAGCAGCAGCAGCAGTTTCTTTTGAAGTCTTATCAGTCGTGATGATTTCTAAAAGTTGCATTTTGTCAACGGGGGAGAAATAGTGCATTCCAATAACCTGAAAAATAATATTATATATTTACAATTGATTAAAAATTATTTTTGTTTTGAAATTATTATGTTTCTTTATATATCAAGACTGCTGAAACATAACAAATAATAGACACATATACAACAATTACTATTGCTGATTAATAATAAATAGTATGAACATTATTTTATTATTATTTAACCTAAATAAGTTTTGCTTCATTT